GCATGTACAAAGACACCGGAAAAAACTATATACAACACGAAAGCATTAATTAAACAAACATACAACAACATCATTAACAAAAATATGAATATGATGAATACTCACAACTCAAAAGCAAATGATTCATAACTATTATGAGGATACCTGGAGACAAAGTATAAACGGTTTCTTAATGATCAAGAAACACACAAGGTTAGGATTAATAAAAAAGAAAAGGTAAAACAACAAGGAACAACAAAGCTTATTAAACTGCTATTCTTTCCTTTCTCTTAGACCAAGATTACATGTATACAAGAATAAAAAAATAACCTCTCTCTCTTGAAGTTAGGATTTTATCTTCCTATTTTTTCCTTATGACAAGATTGAGAAACTAGCACCCTATTTATAAGAAAAATAGTACACTAACCTAATGGATTTTTTAACAATTATCCATTACAAGCTAACTTAGGGTACAAGTTAACTTAAACAATTGGGCTTACAAGCAAGGCCCAATTCAACATGCTAACAACCCTAGCAATATTGACTAATGCATGTTAGAACAAACTTCGACTACAACACGCATTACTCACAAACAGACTTCGATCACACTAGAGTTCGATCCAACATCTCACAAATCTCCACCTTGGATCTAACTCTATAACACCAAGAAGCTAGCTTTCTTCATGCAACTTTATTAACTGCATACAATGGAAAAACTTGCAACTGGGCAACGTCTTGGTGATCATATTAGCATCATTATGATCTGTCAAAACCTTCAACACTAGGACTTTTCCACGCTCGATTACCCCTCTGACAAAATACAACCTCACATCAATGTGTTTGGTTCACTCGTGATAGGCTGAATTCTTTGACAGGTGTATTGCACTTTGACTATCACATTTAACAGTGATAAATCGACTTTGAAGTTTTAGCTCCTTTGTAAAACCTTCAAGCCACAATGCTTCCTTCACAACTTCAGTTAGGGCAATATACTCCACTTCAGTGGTTGATAAGGTAACGACCTTCTGAAATGTTGTTTTCCAACTGATTGCTGTCCCAAACATAGTGAACACATATCCAGAGATAGATTTTCTAGAATCCATACAACCTGCATAATCAGAGTCGATATATCCTTCGACTGCTGCTTTACTATCTTCACCCAAGACTCCACTATAAATTAGGACTCTATTTAGAGACTCATTTATGTACCTTAAAATCCACTTCAATGCTTGCAGTGAGCCTTCCCAGGATTCGCCACGTACCTGCTTACAAGACTTACTGCATATGCTACGTCGGGTCTAGTACAGACCATAGCATACATCAAAGAACCTACTATGTTAGCATATGGAATGCTATTCATATAAGTTCTTTCAACATCACTGCTGGGACATTGATCTATACTCAGCTTGAAATGAGGGTTTGTCGGAGTCACAACAGGATTTGAATTCGACATACCAAACTTTTCGAGAACCTTTTGTAGGTATGCCTCTTGAGATAAGCATAATTTTGGCTGCTTTCTATCAAAGTCACCATACAAGAACACAGTCTTCACATCGATCTGTTCCAGTTCAAGGTCGAATTGTGCCACTATGTCAAACAACATTCGAATGGATATGTGCTTCACAACAGGAGAGAACACATCATTGAAGTCGATACCTTCTTTCTGAGTGAACCCCATAACAACCAATCTTGCCTTATATCTCTTCGACGCCACTCCTTCGGTTCCTTCCTTAACTTTGAAAATCCATTTATAGTTGACTAACCTATTTCCAGCCGATTTCTTGATTATTTCCCAGGTGTTGTTATCATGAAGAGATTTCATCTCATCATCCATGGCCTTCAGCCATTTAGTCTTCTTTCGACTCCTCATAACTTCCTTATAGTCTCTAGGTTCTTCATATAGAACCTCACTAGTAGAGATTAAGGCATAAGCTATAAGATCTGCATACCCAAGTCTCTGAGGTGGCTTGATGACTCTCCTCGATCTGTCTCTTGCTAGCAGGTAGTTATTATTAGTCTCCTCATCATCGACAACATCTTCTGCGTCTTCTTCGACTTCATCTAGGGTATGCAATTCAGCATCAACATGCTCCACCTCAACAGAAATCTCTCCTTGTTCCAGCTCTTCTTCGGCATCAATAGCTTTCTTAAAAGCCATCTCTACTTCATTGAAAACTACATCTCGACTAGTGATACACCTCCTATGACCTGGCTCTAGGCATCATAACTTATAAGCTTTGACTCCTTCAGGGTATCCCATGAACATGCATTTCAGAGCTCAAGGTTCGACCTTGTCTTGCCTAATGTGAGCATAGGTCACATAGCCAAATACTCTCAGTCTGTTGAGACTAGATGGATGTCCCGACCAAACTTCTTCAGGTGTCTTCATTCCTAAGGCAGTCGAGGGACATCTATTTATCAAGTAGGCTGTTGTCGAAACAGCTACCGCCCAAAACACCTTATTCAATCCAGCACTAACCAACATGCATCTAACCCTTTCAAGGATTGTTCAGTTGAATCTCTCTCTCAACTAAGCTATTTTGTTGAGGAGTACCTGCTACAGTTTTATGCCTTGCAATCCCAGACTCAACACAGTAACTGTCGAACGTTTCGTTGCAAAATTCAAGGCCATTGTCGGTTCTCAACCTCTTAACCTTTCTGTCAGTTTGAGTTTCGACCAGAATCTTTCAACTTTTGAAATTCTCAAAAGTTTCATCCTTCGTCTTCTGAATGAATACCCATAACTTTCTAGAATAGTCATCAACGATGGATGGAAAATACCCTGCACCTGAGTGTGAAGGATTCCTTGCAGGCCCCTAAAAATCAGCATGAATGTAATCCAGGGATCCATGTGTTCTTTGCTTGCCTTTGTTAAACTTCGTCCTACATGATTTACCAAATACACAAGATTCATAGAACTCTAGCTTTTCGACTTTGTCACCTCCTAGCAGGTTCTGCTTCCCCAATTCGACCAGGCCTCTTTCGCTGACATGGCCCAATCATATGTGCCATAATTCTGTCTTCGACACAAGTTTCGTGGATGCAACATTTGTCGAACCACTTACAACCTCAGCCTCAAGGGTATACAAGCCTTATTTCTTCACGCATCTCAAGACTTCCTTCGACCCCTTCATGACTCTTAGGATACTTTTCTCTCCTTGAAATACATATCCCTTTCTGTCGAATTCACCAAGAGAAATCAAATTTATCTTCAAGTCAGGTACATACCTAACTTCAGTCAATAACCTTATTGACTCATCAAGGAGCTTGAATCTCACAGATCCAATACCTACAATTTTGCAAGATTTGTTGTTTCCCAACAGCACAGATCCACCATCTTGATCACATAGCTCCTCGAACAATTCTTTGTTTGGAGTCATGTGCCAAGTGCAACCTTAATCCATAATTCACTCTTTTCTTGAGTCGCCGCTTGAAACCACAAGAACATCAGATGAGTCGACGTCATCTTGAACAATGGTTGTGTTGCCATTACCTCCATGATCTTTCAGGTGTTCAGAGCACACCTTTCTTATGTGACCCTCCTTCTTATAGTGATAACATTGAATACCAGATGTTTCGCCACTATAAGACTTATGTTGACTTTTACCTTTCTTCTTGTCAAACTTATCATCCTTTCGCAAGAATTTTCCCTTAACGGCCAAACCTTCGCCCACCGTCGAAGGTTTATGCTCCTTTCATTTGTTCAAGTCCTTAGAATACAAGGCTGATTGAACTTCTTCAAAGGTCAGGACTCCCTTCCATACAATAGAGTTTCTTTGAAGTGAGCATGTGTTCTGGGCAAAGCACATAGCAGCAACAATGCTTGATCTTCATCCTCGATCTTTACATCAATATTTTCAAGATCAAGAATCAACTTGTTGAACATATCCAACTACTCAGCCAACACTTTGTCTTCACTCATCTTGAATGAATACAAAATTTGCTTCAAGTAGAATCGATTCACCAGAGATTTGGTCATGTACAAGCTTTTAAGTTTCACCTATAATCCCGATGATGAAGTCTTCTTTGATACCTGTCGAAGAACCTTATCAACATATTCAACATATTTTCAACTTACATTCAGATATGTACAAGTCTGATTTGAGTGCAGAAGTGTTGGATTTGAAAGAACAAATAGATGGAATTAAGAGGAAACTTGAAAGTTGAGATGGAGAAAAGAAGTGTTTTACATAGTAGTGGTTGGGTGCAGGATGAAAGTGGATACTTGCTTGGTGGTGAAGAAGAAGTCAGGTGAGATAAAGAGAATATGAAAAATCTTCAACACATCTACAGATAAATTATAACACTGAAAATAAAAAACTTGATATCCGTTCCTAAAGACTCAATGTCATTTTAGTTATTCAAAACCCAAAATTAAGTGGGTGTTATTGTTCCTTACCTAAAAGAGACAAAAGTGATAAAGCATGTGCATTAATTATGGTTTTGTTAGAATCCGACATAAATTTGGTTGAATTTAATTACTATTAGGCAATAGATGCCACTAAAAAAAGTAACTTGGAAACCTTAATAAGAGGGTTAACTGTGTGATTTCCATACCATTAAAAGTTTTTATATTATAAATTATTATTAAAAAAAAGTATTTTGCATTAATTTCATTTAAAAAATAAATGGAAATTGGGACCGAGAGAGTTCTATTATAAGTACTTAGTTAGAGACAGATAGAGCATTTATCATTTTTCAATAAAATATTAGAGTAATAATTGAGCTAAAACTAAAAGAGTAAAAGTAATATTTTAACAATTTCATAAATTGATTAGTCAATGTGTTTATTCATCACCATCGTTATCTAGGTGACTGGTAGAGTGGTAGTTGCCTTGGAAATACGTTGCTCCTTCTCTTATAAACATAATGGAACATTTAATGCTAACCCTTAGTGGTTGGCCTTGTTCCTTTCAAACCCATATGTTATTTATGTAGCATCAAATTCAACCAATTATCCAACCAAACTCAATTTGCACCATTTGTTTACACAAAAAAAACCAGTTTGTTGCATCATAATAATGGAGAAGGGAATCGGTGTTGAATTAGCAGCTACAAGATCTTCTATTGACATGAGAAATTCAGATGATGATGAGGATTTAGAATGCAAAGATTCATTCCTGAGGATTGTGGAGACTTTCCTGCGGTTGTTCACTATTGGTTTGTGTGTGGCAGCTCTTGTTATTATGCTCAAGAATTCTGAGGAAAATGAGTATGGTTCTGTTGCTTATTCTGATCTTGGTGCTTTCAGGTATTAATCATGTCTACTAAATCTATAGTTTATTTATGGTTTAAGTTGTTTTGCTGTATTGAAAATCTAAAATTGATGCATAAGCATGATGAAGGGGTGGCGGGGCGGCAATCGGATATTTCGGCTCTGGTTAAGTCCGCCCCGCAAAAGGCTCCAATAAATAGAATGTCAAGATGCAGACGACTCTGTGAAAGTGTGCGAGTCTAAAATCTTTTAACCAAAAAAAACTCCAATAAATAAAATGTCATTAATATAATAATAATAATAATAATAATAATAATAATAATAATAATTAAAGAGTGATATATATAATATTCGTTAGTAGATACAATTTTCTACCAAAAAAAAGTTAGTAGAAACATTTGAAAACATAAAAAAGAATAAACTTAGAAAATCAATTAAAACTAAATTGAAAGTGATACATTTGTTGAAGGAATTAAATCGAAAAATAACAGATTGATTTATGTTAAATTAATCGGATATATTAAATAAATGTGTAAAAATATTTTTAAAAAATATTTAATTTACATCAACTACATAATAATATAAAATTTTAAATTATTCTTTTCACATAGGTTGTGCATTTATTTTTATTTTTTTTAAGTTGAAATATCTTATATTATTTTTCATGATATAAATTATATGAATTAATATGATTGGTTTTGATAGACGAATTTGCAGAAATAATTTTGAAAATCCGTTGTTCTAATTAATTAATATTAAATTTTATTGGTTTAGTTCGGTTTTTGCCTGAATTAAAAAATATTCTGCCCAATCACCATAATTTGTTTTGGATTGTGATTTGATTCGGATTTGCTCAAATCAATGAACACCCTTAAATAAAATTTTCACAAAATAAATAATCCATTTTAATTTTTAATACAATATTAATTATTTTTTAAGAAAATGAGATTGCAATGACAATTTAAAATAATTTTATATTGTCAATCAATCACCCATCTGATTATAAATTTTAAATTAATTATATAATATTGTAGATTGATTAATTTCTATTAGATAATAATGTAAAATTATTTTATAATATCGGTGCATATCAGTTAAACTCTTATTTATTTTATTTTAGGAATTAATTATTATGCATTGTCAATGTGAAAAGTTTTACAGTGTCAATACATCACAATCATTCATTGATATTATTTTTCAAGTGGTTAGAAAAAAGTCAAAGCATTTAAATAAATCAGGTGTTGAGATCAACTAATAGTATAAAAAATCTTTACACTATCCATGCATATCAATTAAATTATTTATTTTACCATCTAATTAATACAATTTTTAACATTCGAATAAAGGATAATCCAATAAAAAATTTAAAACAATATCATATAGTATTTTGAAAAATTATAGTAATTAAAAATATTAAAAATAATATAACCGAAGAAACAATATAGAAAAAGAAAATCTTAATTTGCATTTCTTTGTTGTTTTAATTGTTAATTTATAAATATAACAATTTTTTGTATCTAATTTTAAGAAAAAAGTCAAAAACATTAAATATAGAGTAATTTATACTTCCCTCTCTCAAAAATACAAATATTAAACACTCGTTTATTCTCGTTAAAAAATTAGCAAATGAAATGCAATAAATTACTTTCTTTTTTTTGTGTCAATAACTATTACCATCTCTTAAATAAATTTGTTTATTGTCAAAATATTGTCATTTATTTTCGATCAAGTCGTCTTCCTCGTAACATCCATTGACAAATTGATGTTTGAGCATAAAGTACCAAGTTATCTCAACTGCTGAATCGTTAGTTAGTGACACTAGCAACAATGACTATACTTAATGTAATGAAATTGTCACCGTCTCTAACAACCTCTATGTCACTCCATCAAATCCCTTTTGAGGGAGGGTAAGTAGCGCTATTTGCACATAATCTAAAATTAGAAGGAAAAAATTGTGATTATAAAAAATATCATACAATATTCATGATAAAATAAAGTTTTCACGTTAAAATAATGTTAACGCTAAAAATATTTGTAGTGCGGTTTAGACGGTTTTAATGGTAAAAATCATCTGAAAAATATACGATTCGATTTGGTTAGGTTGACTGTTAAAAATAAAATTAAACAAAACTAATATGATTTAGATTGAATTAGTACTTGAGACACTTTTAGTCATAAGAAAAAAAGAGAGAATAAAGAATAAAAATTGTTATTAGATAAATATTATAAAATTGAATTACAATTATATATTATATCACAACATACCTCCTTATAATTCAAGTTGTTGAATACAAACTAACCATAGTCGATCTGAACTATTCCTAATTTTTTTTTTAGAGTTAAGAATTTGTCGATCTTCAATCCTTTGTAAAAATATTAGTTAATTGTATTTGTTTTTAAAGTCGTCGCCGACATCTACTTCCTTCACAACAACACCTTGAACATTCGGAGAATCAACCACACCTTGAACATTTGAAGAAATAACCTGTTTTGGAAAAACATCATAGTGCACCATATCTAATTAAAACAATTAAAATCATAAAAGAACATAAGTGCTACTACTGCTGCTGCATAGCATAATGACTTCATAAATAAACACAGACAAGTTTCAGAAATGCATCTCCGGACAAATTCGTCACGAGATACATTTCCGGACACAACATAACTTTTATAAAAAAAGTGCGGATTAATGTGAACAATGCTGAGGAAAAAGAAGAATCTTTACCTACAATTTTATCTTCTTTTGTTATGTATAATGTGATGAACCACAAGAATGAAGATTTGGAGTGAAAAAATAGATTGAAAATTAAAGGTTTTTAGGGTGAAGAGTTTGGTTGAAAACCAACTATGTCAACAACGGTTGTGTGATTATGCAACGGGTTCTTTTATCAGAAATTTCCGAAAATACATCTTCAGAAATATCTGACATGCAAAAGTGATGTGAATTTCAAAATGTCGCTCATAGTTCTATAAATGCGTCTCCGGAATATCTACTGAACTGATAAATAATTAAAATCTTTTTAAAAATGTTTTGGAGATGTATCTTCGAAATCAAAATAATTCAATATATAGGACGCCTTTCAGAATGACCTCACTTAAATGTGCAAAAGGTGCATCCGGAGATTTATCTCCAAAAACAAAATACATATATAAAGTTTTATGTAATGCATTAGAAAGATTTAAGATGTGTTAAGAAATTCTCTTAATAAAACCAGCATGTTTTATCGTCCTACCAAGAGAAATCGTAATTCTCTTATCCATCTTATTCAAAAACACCTCTCTATTGGATTCACGAAGAAAAAAAACACCTCTCTATTGGTGTGACGCTAACATGCAACCTCTTGGTTATATTAGCCAGAGTACGAATTGAACTTGAGAAAACACACACTTGTTTGCTCCAATTTCAAAAATTATATGGTAAAAAATAAATCGTTGAAAAATGTTGCACATCGTCAAAATGACAGTGTGAATGGCATTTGTGCATTTTGTAGGTATTTGGTGCATGCTAATGGCATTTGTGCAGGATATTCACTATTCTCAGCTGTCATTGTTGCTATGGCCCGTCCTTCAACCATGCCTAGAGCTTGGGCTTTCTTTTTGCTAGACCAGGTTATCTCACTTTTTGTCAATCTATAATGTAATAAATTAAATATCAATTCACAACTTCAAAGTAAATATTTTTTCCCATTTGTGTTTGATATCTTATAGGTATTAACCTACATAATCCTGGCTGCGGGAGCTGTACTATCAGAGGTTCTATACCTTACTGAAAAGGGACTCCCTACAGCAGCATGGAGTTCAGTTTGTGGATCATTTGGTTCATTTTGTCACAAGACCAAAGCATCATTAGCTATCACATTTGTTGCCGTGATTTGCTATATTTTGCTTTCACTTATTTCCTCTTATAGACTATTTAGCAAATATGATGCACCGTCATCACAGGTCAACAGCTCCAACAAGGACATTGCTTCTTTCAATGGTTGATCTTCAAATATTTTGCTTCTAATGTAATGTGTACATTAATTATGTCCAAGTGCTTTGGCTTAAAATGCATCAAATGCATCTTAACTGAGTAGCTTTAGCAGTGTGCTTTTGAATGTCATGTAACTCTGAGTATAATTATCCAAACTTGTTTTTGTTTGTTTGTTGCTGAAAGCAATATGTATGTTTATGTCTAGTACAATAGATAATTACTTAACAAGCTATGGATGACTGCAAATCATAGCTCCATTCATTGAGAAAGTAACTTTTCCTTACTTTACTCAAATGTTGCCTGTAGATGAAATTCAAGATGCATTGTAATTAGGATTATTTACCCCTGCCAAGACTCAAGAGCCATGGTACTACCACTACTTGTATTTTTTTGACCTGTTATGAATCTGATTCTAAGTCGCAATGAGATACAAATTTCCCAATTGGGCGACTCAACAATAGAACTAGCGTCATTTTTTCGCATGACAACATTGACAACTCAACCAAAACAATGTCAATATAAAGCTATCTGGTTGAAGAATAGTCAAGTTCGCAAAATAAAAGTAATCCACATCCAAAACCACATGTTGAAACTCTAAACTTGTCCTCATTGTAATATAAAAAGGTTATCAAGAAAATCAAACACAACAAATTTTGATCCTACATTGTTCATTTGAAGTCCTTGATCTTACATTATTCAATAACTCAGCAAACCTCATTATCACAACGGTATGATAGAAGAGGTAAAAGTTCAAATCAGTGGCTAGCAGCAGGCTGATTGAGAAGACTCCATCCAAATGAAAGTGTGCACAACATAAGCCCCAATATTGCCGGCATAAACAATCCCCTGTTAGCATATAAATTCAGTTACTTATTAATCCATCATGGCTTTAATTACAAAAACAACACTTATGGTTAGGTTAATTATAAACTTTAATCACCCGAGTTTAAGACGGTTCTTGGGTTCGCCGGAGGAATAGCCTTTGAAATAGAAAAATCTAGCAACAGTATAAAGGACTCCAAGGGCAGCACAAATGGATGGATGCTTCAGCCCTCCCAAAATCATCAGTGTGAAGAAAATGGGCATTGTTTCAAGAGAGTTTTGGTGCCCTCTCTGCACTCACCAAAATACAATATGATCACAATTCATACAAGAGATAGACACCAAAAAAAGCTCTTAATATCATACCCTTTAATACATACTTTTAACACATCAATAAGCCAAAAAAAAAAAACTATTCATCAACTAAATCACAACAAGGAACACTAGAATCACAATGTTAACATCATACCCTTTAATGTGAATTTAAAGTAAAATGATCCATGTTTGGGACAAAATCTAAAAATCTTATTAGAATCAACTTTAAAGACAAATTCAATTCCAACCAATAACAACCAAACATGACAAATTCATTTTGAAGTCTCCAAAATCAACAAAAACGATTAATGCTCTGAAATAATTTGGCTGATTAGTAGTGTGGGTTGAAAGTATGTGAATCATGACATATTTTTTAACCGTGTTTAGTTCAAGGGGGAGTTTGTAACTTAAATACAAAAGTAAGGGAGGTTAGTGTCAATCTAAAAACAAAAGGGGTGTTTATGATACTTAGGTAGAACTTGAGGGGAGGTGAGTGTAATTTACCCTTTTTTTTAACATATCCATAAGCCAAAAAAAAAAAAAGCTCTATTGGTCGACTATATCAAAACAAGGAACACAAGAATCACAATGTTAATATCATACCCTTCAAAGTGAATTTAAAGTAGAGTGATCTAGGTTTGGGACAAATTCTAAAAATCTTTAGAATCAACTTTGAAGGCAAATTCAATTCCAAGCAATAGCATCCAAACATGACAAAATCAACTTTAAATCTCCAAATTCACATTTTGTTCTCCCAAAAGTCAATTCAATCATGCACTATGCATCATAGTGCCACTGATAAAAAAAAATCATGAGTATCACCAGTGTATTTTGTGTGTGTATGTTAACCCTCTGGTTCCTGGTGGAAGGGGACAGTTGATTTGAAGTTGGGCCAGAAGTTAAGTAAATTCAAACCGACAATCATTACATTAGTGAATTCAGTAAAAATAATGATTAGTGAACAATGAAAGGTATATATAGAGGCAAGAGGCCAAAATCTAAACACTTTCAGCTTTCAGATTGAGCCAGAGAGAGATTACCTGAACACAATTGAAGAGCTTGGCATCTTTGTTTTCTGATTCAGAAGCATAGAGTGTTGGATAAAACACTTTGTACCTGTGGGGAATTTCAACAAACACCTTGTAAGCAAAACCACACAACTTGCAATACATAAACAAGAATAAAAATTATGGCAAAACAAAAAAGCAATTACTTCCTGCGAGCTTTGCCCACATGAAAGGCCATGTAGAAATTGAGGAAGCAATAGATAACAAGAACAATAGCTACAAAGCCATATTCTTTTGGCAACAAATCTACAAGTGCTACCATTTTCGAATGTTGGGTTTGTTGTTTTTTTCTTCTTCTGAGGATGGAGGATTCAATGAAATGAACAACGTGTTGTTTCGACGTGCCAAAGTGTGTGTATTTATTAACCTTTAAAGAAAGGGTAAAATTTTAGCAACTAGCATATTTGACTAAAAAATAAAATAAATCGTTTATTTTTTTGAATTATATTTCCATTAAATTTTTAATATTATTGTGTTTATAATTATGAGTAAGAATAAATATAATTAATTTTAATTCTATTTTTACAAAATGCTGTAATATTTTTTACTTAGAATTACAGCAAGTATAATCATTGTGAAAGTAATTACAAAATTTGGTTTGGTTGTTTTAGAGTTAAAAAAGTATTTTTGTTAAAACCACCAATAACTATTTATATTTTTTTAGGACCTAGACTTTTTAAAAAAAAAAATGGATTTTCACTAATTTTGGCAAATAGGGATGCTCTTCCCATTCTAAGGGGTGCATCTCACAATTATGAAAGTTAAAAAAAATATTTAAAATACACAATTCGTCATAATTTTTCTCAAAATTATTTAAGGTGGGTTAGGAGATTCATCACCGTAAATTCTATAAATTTATTTTAAGCTATTGGATGTGTGTCTATCGTACATAATAGAAAATATTTCGGAAATACATCTTTGAAAATTTCCTGAATACTTTCTAGTCAACAACATTGTCTTACCTTTGACATTTTTTACGTCAACTTATATTTTAGGTCATTTTAGACCATAAATTAGAAAATGCATACATTAATTGATTCAAACATACTACACATACATTAAAAAAGTCATACATTAATTAAAGTAAATTCAAAATGTACCAACCATACATAACTTGTTCTGAAAATACAAAAAATAATATAACCAAACATAAAATATTGTGTATGTCTAACCCTCATGCTTCTCTTCCTATACTGCACAACATCTTGGGTCTCGACAATAATGGCTTATAAGAGGGTCAATTGGGGAATGTCTTCCTCAAATTAAATACTCTTGCCTCTATACTCGATCTCGCCATATACATAATACATTGAGAGGCACTCAGTATGTCCTGGGTGTGGTCATCCCTAGCCTCAAGTACATCTTGATTAGATGACCTATGTTGTCTTCCAATAGCTTATGGCGTTATGGAAAGATGTAACACCCTATAGAACTATGTTATCTAGTCGTATGCATAAGCCCATTGTATATGAGTTGACACCATACCATAGTCTTCTGGTACCAAATGAATCACGAGATCCTCAAGTATGGCATCAAGATCTCTGCAGTGGGCAGTGGGAGGAGCATACTTTGAAGGGTGTCTCAGAATAACCTGCAAATACCTAAACTTGTGCACCAATCGCTCGGACAGATACACATACATTAGACTTGACCAACAAGTTAGCCATTCGAAGTATAATGAAATGACATCAAGTTGGTGCTCTAACGGTCAAGATAAATCTGGAAGGGCTCGATCTACTCATTCCCTTTGAGTGGGGCAAATGCGAGAGCACGTGGTCAATCCTCAGTGTAGTCAAGCACAAATTCCCACCCCGAAATGCGAGGAAAGTGGGAGATGATCCATCCTTGAAAATGGTTAAGATAAAATATTAGTAACATCCGTAACAAAAGAGTTATGAAAACATTGGTGATGGTAAATTACCGTAAGCAGTGTGCATCTTCTTATCAACTGCTTTGTCTTTCAAATACAACGTTCACATAGTTTTGAGTATAGGTAGACCAAACAGGTCCCCCCACTTGTACTCATGAATCTTCATTAAGTCGATGAAGTATTTAATGTACACTACATCGACATAGCTTTCACTTTTATCCATAAACATGGGTGTGCCAACCAGGAACAAGAGGTAACACCTCAATGCACATTATCGGCGGTACTCAACCTGCATATTATCATCTTTTGCATCCATAACCATCAACGGGTGGTATTTATAAAGTTCTTCCAAGAATTTAAATCTATCTTGAACACCTATAGTGTTAGCTACCTCATTTATGACCTCAGTTAAATCAACTCCCAAATAGGTAACTATCATCTCGTTGGCTTCCTCTCAATTGAGCCTTCTGTGGTCCAATAATTTTCCTCAAATTGGAAGATGTAGGAAGCATGAGACGCCGTCCAGGGTGATGGTCATCTCGCTAAGAGGAAGGTGGAAAAATGACATCTCTAAATGCCAACTCTCTGCAAATTCCCCCTGGATGCCACTATTTATGGTATTGTACGTAATAACACATTAATTGGCAAACCCAGAGTAGCAGATAACATTCCTGAACTAGTCATCTTCGGGTTATTCCAAATCCAAAATCTTCCTTTTGTGACTTAAGGGTTTTAAACATGGATACTCCTATAAAAAAATATATCACCATCAATCGTGATTAAATTACTATAGAACGGATATAATGCAAAAGTAAATAAGGAAGTGTCAAATGGGCTTCTTAAATAACTACATACAGGGGCATCCACATCAGTAATGGGTTCCTTATGCTTTAAGGGCTTTAGAGGGATTCATCAATAGGAGACACGTGGCCCCGTGAAGTAGATGCATGAGACAAACAACTTTGAGAAGTAAAACTAGATGGTTGTGAACCATCAAACAAGGTAGCATCGACTCGTGGCCCTGCCTTTGGCCCTATCATGTTGTACAAACGCTCGTTGGGACACATGGTCGTGCCTAATTTTTTCTTGGTTGTTTTAAGCCATTGCACCTGTAATAAAACAAAAAATCACATTAAAATGCATACGGGTCAAATTCATAGATGCATCCCTGAAAACTATTTCAAACATAATTCAGATATACATCTCCAGATGAACTCACAAATTGCAGAAATGGTAGAAACCCCACTGATACCCTAAACTTCAACCAAATGGTAATTTGTATCTATATCAGCTACCTATTTCAAATTTATACTATCTAATGCATGTTACTTAAATCATCATTCAAAATTAAAAAAAAAAAAGAGGTGAGAAACTTACCAAATTAGAGTTGTGGATGAGAAGCTTGAATAAAGTGAGTGGCTTTACAACAAATGAACTATAATGAAGTGAGTGAACTTGAAGAAACATGCTCAAATGGGGTTTGGAAATGACTTTGAGACAAAAGAGCTCAAATGGGGTTTTTTAGTGACTTTGCAAAAAATGAAGAAGGAATAGGGAAGGTTTAGGCGCGACTATATGAAATAAACGTGTCCAGAGATGCATCTCTGTAAAACTCCTTGAATTTTGAATTAATGGTTTTCACACATATGCATCTTCGAACTCACCCTATGTTGATATAGAGATATATCTCCAGATTTAATTTTGGAAAAATAAGGATGGCTCATCAATTTGCAATGGTGAGTGTGAAAAAACGTGTGTTCGAAGATGCATCTCTGAATGCTAAAGGCAATTCTGACTTTTCATCATAAAAAAGATGCACCCTTAAGGGTGGGAAAAGTAATTATTGAAATTCTGGCACGCAGATACCAGATGTCGAGATAGATGTCACAACACTAGGATCAAAACAACTTGATCACAAATAAAAATGCAGAAACTTAAAAGACAAGAAAGTAAAATAACACCAGTAGTTGTTAACCCAGTTTGGTGCAACTCACTCCATACAGGGGCTACCAAGACAAGAAGGAAATTCACTATGATAGTATTAGTTTAAAGATAAACTCCCTCTTTTAAAAACTTCTCGCTTAATCACTAACTTGTGCAACTTCTACCTAGACACCCTCTAGATATAAGATCCCCCTTTCACTTCCTAATCAGTCACAATCCCAGTGACAATTCAACAACTACTAAAAATAGAAGTACCAATCCTTCCAAGTACAATACTTGATTTTGCTTAAAAGTTTCAACCAAGAACAATACACTCTTGCTTAAAATCTTTAGAGTGGATAATTAACAATGAATAATCAGTCTATCTCAATGCATCATAAAATAGATGAGTGATATACAAACAAAAACATGATAAACACTAAAGAAACACTAAGACACGACTAATCCTAATTTCTTCCAAATCCATGCTTTCTTTAGGTTTAGAGACTCCTTTAAATAAGCATCACAGCTGCATGAGCTTGGGCTCTTAAAAGAAAACGCAAAACGCCATGAATCAAACTTTCAATCATTAGATACTTTCCTACACAAAAGTAGGAACAAAATACAAAGTTTCCTAAAAGGCTCAAGAATCCTTTTTTACGAAAAACAATACAACCTGTAAAAATATAAATTCACACAATATTCTCCCTTGGATAACGCAAAGACGTGAATTAAAACACACTAAAAAATCACACTAAAAATTCCAAAACTATCCTACTCATGATTTAGAGTTTGTGTGGTAAGCTGATGTAAGATAGCAAGGTTGTGGCTTATGCTTCATGACAATTGAGGGTTCATGAGAGAAACTATCCTACTCATGATTTAGAGTTGGTTTCAGTGGTGTTTGTGTTAAAGATTTTGAGGCATTATCTTTATGATTTCAGATTTGAGGTATTCAGTAATTACAAGAGTTTGAAGTATCTGTTTGATCAGAAAGAATTAAATATGAAGCAGCGTAGATGGTTGGAATTTATGAAAGATTATGACTTCGCCTTGAATTATCACCCCAGTAAAGCTAATGTCGTGGCTGATGCTTTAAGTCTGAAGTTTTTAAATATGTTTGCTATGATGGTTAGAGAGTTGGAACTTATTGAACAGTCCAAAAACACGAGTTTGGTTTGTGAAATAACACCGCAGAGTGTGATGTTGGAAATGTTGAAGATAAATAAGGATTTTCTTAATAATATCAAAGAGAGTCAGAAGTTGGATGTGAAGTTGGTGGACCTGGTGGTGGGAAGTAATTAAACTGAGGATAATGATTTTAGAGTGGATGAATAAGGTGTGTTGAGATTTTGAGATATAATATGTATTCTTGATGATTCTGAGTTGAAAAATATGATTTTAGAAGAAATTCATAGAAGTAGCTTAAGTATCCACCCATGAGCTACTAAGATGTATCAGGATCTGAA